ATTACCTGATAAATGTAGCTTTCTGTGAATGAAAGCACAGGTAGATATTGGAATACTGATTGTGGTTTGTTTATATCCATCCCATGAAACATAAAATAAGATCTGCACTGAAAAAATGAGTTCACAATTATTCCATAACCTGATTATACTACTTTATAGTTGAAACACATTCACAATGCATTTTTGCCAGTGGGCATACAACTGTATTTGTTTCAGCCATAGCATGCAAATTTTGAAACACAAAAATTAGCAAGAAATAATGTTGAATTGAGGGTTAAGTGGTTTAGCTAAATTTTGTGACCTGCACATGTAAAAACTATTTAATTGGAAGAACTGAAGTTTCTTTCGACCAGTGTAACAACCACTGCAAGCATTTTGAACATCAATATAACAACATTGTTATAGTAAAATACGCTCATCAACTACTGGATGAACGTAAGAAATTTCGTCATACGGTTCTTGAGGCATTGAATGCAAAGGAAAACATAAGTAAAATATATTAAGATTGAGGCAGTTGACATCCTTGAGGATTGTATCAATCAACTATTTCCCACAGAACTTCATACAAAAGGTCCTTCTCAGAGAATACTATACAGTTCTTATAAAAAAGGGTTACCTGAGGTTGTTAGATTACTTCACTTTCAGAAACTGAAAACTATAATAAGAGAATTGTTTCAATACTATCATATGTAGCGTTCCCCATCGGCAACCGAAATGCCAAAGTAAATTTGATAAGAAAAGTGAAATTTTAATATAATTCAAATCCGTAAGCTTTCCATGTTAGCTTTACTACTAAATCTGCAACTAGTCATTCACTTACGTGTACTATGCACTGATGAATATTCAACTATTAAATAATGCACATTATTATATATAGAATCAATCTTCAGGAACAAAGCCTGCTTACAAAATCTTCAAGGGTAGAATTTGCTCGTTGCATTGCGTCCAGTCCAACCATAGCCATTTCTTCAGAATTATTGTCCAATGAGCTACACTCAGGCTTATGGCTACAGGCAAGCTGCAAAGCATTTTCAACAGACTTTTCTTCATAGCCTGTAAAAAAAGCAAAAGTCAAAGCTATAAAAATATGTAAAACTATTTGTATCTGTTTATTTAAAGAAAATCTACACCAAAATCAAGTAAAAGGGGTGATGTCCTCGTTAACAGGATATATACAGAAGCCCAAACAAAGTGAGACAAATCAGCTCGTAGAGAATGAACAATGAGCATCAAGAAGAAAACAGAAACATAGTAAGAAGACATAACCTAGGAGGAGTGAAAATCAAGAATATAAAGATCTCACATAAGATCGCAATTCTTATGCTAAACTGCTAGCACTCAACCCTCATAAGAATGCAACACAAGCACAAAGGTTATCCTCTGCATGCAATTCAATGCTTTCCGTTCCCAACTACACCTTCCCCAGAAACATAAATATAGTAGGAAGTGTAAACACCAGCACCAAGTAGTATGCACACCTACTGAACCCAACCAAATAAACTGCTTCAATAACTAATACGATCCTTTGAATTTGAGGAAGCTAAAGGCAACCATTCAAAGTATAGCACTTGTATCTATCAAGAAAATGGAAAAAGGAAGGAATCTATTTGCATCTGTGTATAATGTTCTACACAATTGCTTTATTCCATGACGAGTCAAGCCAGGAAGTGTGGCATCACATCAACATATTCACGGGGTGGGTATGATATCAGTTGTAATATGTGCAGCATCATAGATTAAAAACTAAATAAATCCTGTTAATATAGCCTACAAAATATCTTTAAATGTAGATTTTACTCTCTGTATGTGCATATGGCGCGCAAATGGAAATCAGTTAAGTCTCAAATGCACGTCCGCGAGAAGTACAAAAAACATATTTTTATTTTCTATTTTGGTTTACCTTCTCCATTAAGCCATTTGGATGCTTCATCAAGAAATGCAGCAGAAATCTGTGAAACAAGTGACATAAGCACACACCCATTTCTATTGACATTGAATTGAACAAAATCAGATCATCAGCTAATGATATAACGCTCACCTTTGGCATATATTCAGAAACCAAACTGCACTTTTTGCCCAAGTCAAGTTCTCCACATGGTTGTACCTTTGGCATAGCATTTCCAAAGTTCAGAAAAAAAACAAAACAAACAAAAAAACAAAAACAAAAAACAAAAAAACAAAACATAATAAACAAAGCAGTTTGCATCAAAAAAATTCTGGTTGTTTCTACAAATTAAAATTAGAAGAAAATCTAGAAAATTACTTTCTTGACAGTAAGACTGCAATTATAATGTTTAGTTGTAGATTACCATGAGGAGGATGAGCTTAGTAAGAAAGCAACTACAGTCGTCAGGGGACGACGTCGTTGGAATGCCTCGAGATTGTACGAACGTCAGCATTCTCTGTACCTCTTCCAGCTTCCTCAACTCTTCCATCTCTTTCTCACTCTGCGCTCTACACTCCACCTCGGCAGCTGACCATCGGTTTGTTTTTATATTTTATTTTATTTTTTAATGGAGGATAAAATTGGCATTACCAGATTTTAAAATTTTAAAAATAACAAAAAAAACTTAAAAGAATGCTTTGAAAAATTGGAGGTGACTATACTTTATTTTCGGACAGATCTGAAATCAGTATTTCAATTACAATGAAATGAAAATTTAACATAAAAATTATATTCAAATTCCGTTATAAAAATTTCAACATCTATTCTGGTTTAGAGAGCTCGAAATTTTGAGAGTATGCGGACAATTTTGAAACTTAAGCCATCTTCAATCATGGACTACCAAATGTAGCCCTAAAAATGTGTAAAATCCATCTCTATTCACGGACCAAAAAAAAAACTCATGCCAAATTTTGAGGGCCACATTTAGCCCTAGACCCTTTTCCTAGGCTACACGTACCCCTTAGCTTTAGCCCAAGTCAATTTTTTTGTGAGCCCATAGCATGTGCAACCTAACTAGAGGAAGAATCACGTGTGGGTGTGATTAGGGGACTAGTTTGTGCAACTAGAAACTAACAAACGCATTCATTTGTCCGTTGAGATCCAAGGGCTAGTATTAAAGGCACATTAACGATAGTTAGCTGTTACTTTTTTTTTTCTTTCCCTTTTTTAACTTTGAAGGCCATGTTTGGTACGTCTCACTAGACTGGACTAGATTAAATAGCACTCAAAACCCCTGTTTGGTAAGAAACGAGACTAACTTAAATGAGATTGTATAGTCCAACAGTGGAAAAAATGTCTCACTCACTCGTCTAATACAGTGAGCCTGAAAAGTGGTTCGCTAAATAGCACACTTGCTAAATAGAACACATGAGTCTGACACCTCTCTTTAAAAAATATCATAATTTTATTTATTTTCTTTTAATTATTGTTTTAGATCTTTGAATGGGGTTTTTTTTTTTGGCAGCATTTATTTTTTATAGATAAAAATCCTTAATTAAATTTAAATACTACAATAATTATTTTGATATTGCATTTGGAAAATCAAACTATAGTAATTTACAAATGTCTGATATTTTTTTGATATCGAAACAAGTTTAATAATTCATGATGTGATGCTTTCCTTATCTCAAGCAATTTTTACCTTGTCAAATTATATTTTTCAGTTTAAAGTTAAAAGTCAAATATACAAAAATTATACATATATATATATATATTTAATTTTTGTTTTACTTGGTCTTTGAAAAAACCTACAATTATATAGAGTGAGCTTAGCTCCTTATCAATGTTTAGACCAACTAAGATTAATTTTGACAAGCCAAAAAACAAATATCATAATTTTATTCTTCATATAAAAAAAAAATTATTTGTTTTCTTTTCATTATTGTTTAAATTTTTTTTTTTTTTGGCCAGATATTGTTGTAAATCTTTGAATTGGGTTTCTTTGTAGCATTTATTTATCTTTTAGGTCAAAAATCCCAATTAAATTTAAATATTATAATAATTATTTTTTAGTCCGACACAGTACCAAACATAGGTCTTCACTATTTTTACAATTCAGCTTCTTAGTCCGACTCAGCACCAAACGTAGGTTAATACTTAATCTAGCTTAGCACAATTTGAGCTAATCCGAGACAGTCCCAGGATTTAGTCCAGTCCATGACAGTCCGCCGTGCCAAACGCCCTGAAATGTATTAAAATTCATTTATATATATACAGAGAGCTCCATTGAGGGATCCTTCAAATTAGCTTATTTGAGGGATACCCTTGTAGGGGCAACTCCGTATTGTATTCACTAATCCAAATAATCAATTTTGTAGATATTCATTCAAAGATCATTGCTACAAAAAATCACTTCAATCCGATATCATTTGGCCACTCAATTGAATTATTGAAATTTTAGTACTTTCTTGAAGCACTGTATTCAATGATTTTGTATGACACAATTAGATATTGAAACAGTTTCCGATTTGTCTAATTTTTTGCAAAGATGATCTATGAATGTAGACTTAAAAAATAGATGATTTGGATCCTTAAAAAAAAAAAATCGTAAAGAACCCTAAAGGGTGTCCCTCAATAGAATGGGACTATCTATATATGCGGATGTAGAGCCAGTGTAGCCGAAAGAGGCCCCTTTTGATAGTGGGCAACCATGATTGATGCTTCTTTAGTGCATAGAAGAAGAAGATTTCTATCTTACTTACTAAAGCCATGTCTGACCAAGGTAGTATTATTGAATAAAGACATGAAAGAACTTACAGATGAGAGATCCAAAACATATAAATATTATGGGTTATTGCAAAGTGATATGGCTTATAGGAAATTAGGAATAATAGCGTTTTCTGTAGCTGTAGAGTTATAAATAGAAAAGTTTAAGATTTCTTCAACTATTGTCCTACTAGATTTTGTAAACTTCACCTACCCTTATAAGAGAGGGCTGATGATTATTTGAGGATCAAAATAATTCAAATCAAAATTAGATTCGTTAAAACTGACTTAGTTTCGATCCAAAACCGTTCGCGGGAGTTAGGTAAACTTACACCCACAAGAGGCAAAGTTTGCGGGAATCACTTATCTGTTCTTAATACCAGTTTCAAGGTCAGTTACATAAGACCAAGATGATACTGGAAATCATCAATATATAAATAGCGACAAGAGATCAGATGCGCACATAACTACAAAACACGAATGAGCAGAAATTCCACTCCTACCTTATTAGTACAATTGTGCTGCTCAAATGGTTGCATTTCTGTTTTACAATTATTCTTTCTTTGTTGTTTATCCTTTACCACCCAGCACTGCATATATCCAAAAAGCATATGAAACTTTTCCCTTGGTTGAAGGCCCGTGATGCCCCCACGATTCAGGTGCGTTGATAATCAGCAGCAGAACCCGTCTGAGAGGAAATCCACATATTTGACTCGTGGCCAACAACAACGTTGGAAAAATGGTTTCATTAGGATTAGTAGCTCCCAAATACTTGGTTGTCTGCATTGCTTCCGTCCAAATACTATATTTGGTGGGCTTCCTTCTGTTTTGAATCCTCCTCACTTGAATCACGTATTATAGTGGTACTTTGTTCTTGATCACGTACCTGTCTACTTTCCCGAAGCTTCCCAGAAGTTGCAATCGCAAGAATCAGCTCAAGTTGTTTTTGCTGCTGCTCCTGCACATGACAACAGGTGCAACATATTCTAATCAAAATTATGACACAAGAAATGGATCTCAAGTTAACAATAATTTGTGAAAATCGAGACGACATAAAGATTTGAAAAGCAAATAGAGAACAATCACAAGCAGATAGAGATATCAAATATTCTGAAAGTCCATTAATCTTGGCATTGTAGCTCATAGAAAGGATAATAACCAAACTAATTAAGAATAATTCACAAGAATACAGTCACAAACGGATATAGATATAAAATATTATGGGAATCCATTAGCCTTGGCATCGTAGCTTGTATACGGGATAATGACCACATTAATCAACAAAATGGGAGAACTCCATGGAAGGCAATATTATTCTAAAAAAGAAACAATTAATTCTCAAATTTACATACTGAGAAACCTAGCAATTCTTCATTCTGTTTAGCTGTCACCCGGGAGTGGAGAACCCTTACCTGCATAGCCAACAAAACCTTTTGAATTTCTCCAAGCTCCTTTTCCAGATTGTCTTCTTGCACTGCTAATGCTCGAGTGGCCTCAGAATTTTTTTGAGCCAAAGCTGCAGTCTTCAGAAACAAACAACTAGTTAGAAGTTGTACCAGATAATCATCTTGCAATATCAGCCGATATAAGTTTATTTTATTGATACTTTAAGCCCAAAACATTCCAGTCTTTCTGCATTCAACATAGTAAATTAACCCATTTCTTCAGGGTCAGAAATAAAAATCCTAGGGTCCTAACCATTCAACCTGTCATAGTGTAAGAGCATTGAGATTCCTTTCACCAACTTTACCCACATTGCTTAACATGCACACCATCACCCACACTAAATTGCATCTGCCAGTAGGTGATGTCCTCTTTAAGCATATCTTAATCATCTGCAAGGGTCTGCTATTAGACAACTTATTTAAGGAGCTACTGGAGATTCTACAATACCAATTTCCAAGAAGATCACTGGGTTCTACACTCTGAGTGACTCTTTGTTTGC